CAACAATTATATATATTTATATATAAACAGAACACAAAATGAAAAACCTATTCTGTCAGGCCCTACAGTATATTCACCGTATCGCCGAAGCCGCGTTCGCACCGCTTTCTCTTGGCTTGTGGAGTCGGTGAGTTTGGGCCCACACAAGGCGTTAACCCTGAAGTAGGGTTTAGGATTTGCGTTTAGGGTTTAGGGTTTAGGGTTTAGGGTTTAGGGTTTAGGGTTTAGGGTTTAGGGTTTAGGGTTACCCTCAACCCCGTCCCCTCGCAGGTGACTACGACGGTGTCAGAAACGGCCCCTAGCCCCCCGCCGGCCACCGGCTCGGAGGCCTCCTGCGGGTTTGCATGTTTGAAGGGTTTCCCTAAACCCTAAACCCTAAACCCTAAACCCTAAACCCTAAACCCTAAACCCTAAACCCTAAACCCTAAACCCTAAACCCTAAACCCTTAACCCTTAACCCTTAACCCTTAACCCTTAACCCTTAACCCTTAACCCTTAACCCTTAACCCTTAAACCTGAAACCCTTAACCCTAAACCCTAAACCCTAAACCCTGCAGCCTAAGTAAGGTTCAAGGGCTGAAACGATGCAGGTTTCCGGGGTTTGGATGGGGTTTTTGGGGTTTGGAGGGGTTTTAAAGGTTGCGAGGTGCACATGGGTTTGTGTGTTCAAGGGTTCAAGGGGTTTCAGGGTTTACTTTTTTTGTCTTATCATTTTTGGGGTAGTTGTCTTTGTGAGTGTGTTTCAGGACTCAGTGGTTGAGGGGTTCCGTAAGAGTTTAGGGTTTCGGGTGCAGGGTTTAGGGTCTTAGGGGCTAGGCAGGCTGAATGTGAGGCTCTATATGGTTCAGGGAATCTTTTGGCGAGGCGCTGATCCCCGAAGTCTGCAGTCTTGCGCCCAACTCCCGAAACTGACCCTAAACCCTAAACCCTAAACCCCAAACCCCAAACCCTAAACCCCTAAACCCCAAACCCTAAACCCCTAGACCCCGAAACCCTGAACTCTGAACCTCAGGCCATCACACCTGTGAAGCCCAAGAGCGTCGAGGCTCGTGGGTTTAGGGTTTTACGGTTTCGGGTTTGCCAGGCAGGGTTTGGCTTTAGGGCTTCGGCATTAGGGCTGGCTTCAGGAGGGACTGCAGGGGCTTGAGGGGTTTGTGTTTTGGGGGCTTCAGATATGAGCACTCACCCTAAACCCTAAACCTTAAACCTTAAACCCTAAACCATAAAATCTGTAAACCGCCGCCGGTTTACAGACATTTCTGCTTGTTCACCTTTGTACGGGATCTACGCTTAAACCCTGGACCCATCAACCTTTCCACCCTGAGCCTGCCTAAGCCCTTAACCCTTAACCCTTAACCCTAAACCCTAAACCCTAAACCCTAAACCCTCAGCCCTAAACCCTAAACCCTAAACCCTCTGTACCCTCAAACTGCAGCCTGGCCCCTCTGCAAGGTGGACGCACCAGCAGGTGCCAACGATGAGGCCGCCTCTCTCCGAATCCAGGGTTAGGGTTTAGGGTTTAGGGCTTGGGGTTTAGGGTTTAGGGTTTAGGCTTTAGGGTTTAGGGTTTAGGGTTTAGGGTTTAGGTTTTAGGTTTTAGGTTTAGGGTTTCGGGTTTAGGGTTTAGGGGTTAGGACTATTGCCAAGCTCCTGAACCCTGAAGCGGTTCAAGGTTTCGGGTTCGAGGGTGCAGGCCAAGGGCGCTGGGATCCGGGGCCTTCAGGTTCGGAATTTTGGTGGGGGGGGGGGGGGGGCCTCCACCGGTTTGCGCTGTTTGTGTATTATGTGTTTTATTATTATGATTATTATTATTAATATTGTTATTATTAATATTCATATTAATATATTATTATTATTATTATTGTTATTATATTAGTATTGTTATTTATTATCATTGCTATTATCCTTATTATCATTATTATTCTTATTATTACTACCATTATTATCATTATTATCATCATTATCATCATCATTATCATTATTATCATTATTATCATTATTATCATTATTATCATTATTATCATTATTATCATTATTATCATTATTATCATTATTATCATTATTATCATTATTATCATTATTATCATTATTATCATTATTATCATTATTATCATTATTATCATTATTATCATTGTTATCATTATTATCATTATTATCATTATTATCATTATTGTCCTTATCCTTATCATCATTATCATCATTATCATTATTATCACGATTATCCTCATTATCCTTATTATCATTATTATCATTATCATCATTACCATCATGATTATCATCATTATCATTACTATCATTATTTTCATCCTCATTTTTATTAGTATTATGACAATTCTTATTTCCATTTTTGTCATTACTATTCTTCTTCTTGTTCTGATTATTGTGATTATCATATTATTTCTTATTATTAATAATGTTTGAGTACTATTCTTGTCTGGGTCCGGGGGCCCATGGTTCTCCCAGCTGCTGGCCACGAGGGGAGCCCCAGCCCTTTTTGGGTGTCCTGCGTTGGCAAACCCTAAACCCCAAATCCTCAACCCTGCAGCCCTGCAACCCTAAACCCTAAACCCTCAAGGCCAGGATACATGGAAATTGTAGGCGTTTCATTACGAGCAGCTCGTGCAATAATCCTTCGTCCTTCACAGTGCAAACAAACAGACAAAGGCACCGAAAAAGACCCTGAACTGGGAAAGAAAGCCCAGATGCTGCCGGTGCCCCTGTAGGCCCCCCAAAACCCCCCAAAACAACCCAAGACTCCCCAAACCCCCAACCCCCCCCCCCCCCCCCCCCCCCCCCTTTTCCAGGCACGCTCCCAACCCCCGACAAAACCTCCCCAAAAAGTTAAAAAAAAAAAAAAAACCGGCAAGACCCGGCAAAACCTCCAAAACCCGACAAAACTCCGGACACAAACCCTATACAATTTCGAAAACCCTAAACCCAAGCCATACACCCTCAGCGGCCCGGAGGTGGATGTGGCCAACAAGGGTGGCCAGGAATGTGAAGGCCTGACGTTTGGGCTTCGGGTTTAGGGTTTAGGGTTGAGGGTTTGGGGTTTAGGGTTTAGGTTTAGGGTTTAGGCTTTAGGGTTTAGGGGTTAGTGTTCGGGGTTTGGGGTTTAGGGTTTAGGGTTTAGGACAGGCTGGTGTTATGATTGAAGCCGAAGACCCATCGTTTGTTACGATCATCACACACACACGATACGAAACATGCTAGTAGTAGTTATCATTCTTTTTCTGTTTATTTTTAGGGTTGTGATGTGAGAATTATCAGGACTGGTCTGATTATTATGATGCCTGAACCGTTAACCCTAACCCTAAACCCTAAACTCGAAACCCTAAACCCTAAACCCTAACCTCGAGAGCGGCCTGGGGTGAAAAGTCATGGTCCCGGGGCTAGGACAGGACGCCGAATGAGTACTTGGAGGACCCTAAACCCCCTAAACCCTAAACCCTAAACTTTAAACTTTAAACTTTATCCCTAAACCCTAAACCCTAAACCCTAAACCCTAAACCCTAAACCCCTTAATTGCCCTAATATGGTAATAAGTACAGCAATAAGTACAGATGTAATTGGTTAATAAAGTAGCACGAACCTCCAAGTAGTGCAGGGCTTGGGGTTTATGGCTCAGGCTTCTCGCAGAATCTCCGTTGAAGCCCTTAAGCCCTTTAACCATAAAACACCCTAAGCCTTAAATCCTAAACCCTTAAACCCTCAAACCCTTAAACCCAAAACCCTCAAACCCTTAAACCCCTAAACCCCTTGAAACCCGTAGACCAACCCTTAAACCCTCAAACCCTTTAAGCCCTTAAACCCTTGGACCCTTGAACCCTCGAGCCCTTAAACCCTTAAACCCCTTCGCCCCCTACACCCCTAACCCTTGATCCCTTAGACCCTCAAACCCTTAAACCCTTAAACCCTTAAACCCTTAAACCCCTACGACCTCAAACCCTTAAACCCTTGAACCCTTAAACCCTTAAACCCTTAAGCCTTAAACCCCTAAACCCTTAAGCCCTAAACCCGTGGTTTGCATCTTGGGACCCTGAAATTCTGAAACCCTGAAACCCTGAAACCCTGAAACCCTGAAACCCTGAAACCCTGAAACCCTGAAACCCTGAAACCCTGAAACCCTGAAACCCTGAAACCCTGAAACCCTTAGACCCTTAAACCCTCAAGCCCTTAAAACCCTTAAACCCCATCTTGGGACCCCCACCTTGTTTTTTTTTTTTTTTTTGGGGGGGGGGGGGTGGGGGGGGGGGGCGGAAGCCCTGCACGTAAGGGGGCCTGGCACTGCTCGCGCCTTCGTTGCTCACCAAGTGTTTCCCTTGACTTCGAGTTTACTGAAATGGTGGTTGTAAAATGCAGAGGCTCCGATGCAGCCTCTACACAAAAGACAACTTCACACCTTACACCCAATCCCTTTTGAGCGAAGTCATCGAGATCCGCCCAGGAAACGTCAACGCAGAGGCGAGAACGCCCGAGGATCAGAAGACCCGGGTGCCGCGCCCGCTGGGGCCCTGGTGGGAGGGAGGTAACGCCTGAAAAAAGCCATAAACAACCCTAAACCCTAAACCCTAAAACCTAAACCGTAAGTCCTAAACCCTAAACTCTAAACCCGAAACCCTAAGCCTAGACCCTAAAGTTTTAAACCCTAAAGCCTAAACCTCCAGCCCTAGCTCAAAACCAACTCTCTACACCCTGACTCGGCAGGACCTGAGGATATTTTGCATATTTTCCCTTATTGGGTTTCAGAGGATCATATATTCGGAATATGTTTCAGAGGGTTTTTAAGGGGCCATTCTAGCTGAGTTCATGAGGGGGGATCGGGCTTTAGGAGGGCTTAGAGCTTAGGGTCTAGGGTTTAGGGTTAGAGACGCAAGTCTCTTGGTGCGTTGCATTGCAGGCCCTCGGCCAGGCACTGTAGTCGTTTCGCATCCCACCTCGCCTGGTTTGGGCACGAGAACAAGCAAGTGCAGCTTAAAAAGCTTGTTCTAGAGCCCGCC